GGGTAAATTTCCCAAATTAAGCATCTGGAAGTAGATTCAGCATTTTGGTGTTAGTCAGCAGATATGTGTGTGATTCAGGGGCATTTGATCGAACAGTTTGTGGGCATTTGAACAAAGAGCAAAACCAAACAAATAGAGGCAGGGAGACAGACATATGGAAACGAAGAGCAAAACCAAACAAAGAGGGGAGAGGAGGAGGTGATGAATCGTACTTGTTGGGGATGGACGCGCGCGAGAGTGGTAACCTGAAAGAGATGGTGTTTGCGCAGAAGAGGGATGGGGGAGGGTGTTTGCTTTGATGTTGGAACCTGAGAGAGAAGAGTCTGGCATGATTTTGGGGGAAGTGACTGGCCGCCTAAGAGAGAAGATACTGTCAGCATGTATTCGGCGTGATTTTGGAGGAAGTGACTGAGAGAAGAAACTAAGAGAGAGCCGTTTGAAGAGAGAAGAGACTGATTTTGGGAGAAGTGATTGTGTTACAGGTAGTTGTTGCTCTACGTTGGGCTGGGTGGGTTGGGTTGACTCTAATAAAAAAAAAATTGTTGCTCTAGGTTGGGCTGGGTTGGGTTGGGTTGGGTTGGGTTGACTCTAATAAAAAAAAAAATGTTTTTACCCTGGGTTTTAGCCCACCAATGGCTCCGTTGACTACCACCATAGTTTTTTTGTCCTAGATTTTCATGAAAAAATGCCAAAATCATTAGACTGATTAGGACAAGTCTACTTTACCTTGTGGAGTTTTTTTGGCATTAATGGAGACCTTTGGGTGCCACTTTGGGCCGTAAACATGAAGCTAAGCTGTGCCTTCTTGATCTGTTGTAATCAAATATGAATTATTGCCATTTTCTCTCACTTCTTTTCCTCCCAACTTTGTGTCCGCGGCACACCATGTGTTCACGAATAGCAATTTTGTCTTTTCAATGATAATAAGACAGAACTAGCAATAAGATTCCGGAATTCTCCAATAGAATTGATTTCCACTTTTCATTGGCAAATAGAGGTAGATGATAAAATATCGCTCTGTTAGAATCATAATGTAGGGCTTGCTGACACATTTGAACGGTGAGTCTTAGTTGATATCAACATCCTTAATTCTGATCTGGTAAGACTTACGTTGCTTATGCAAAATGGTCCATTCAACAGCTTATTAAAACTCCTCTCCATTTTCCATATTCTTTTATTATGTAGACAATCACCCTTCTACTATTGCATTGATATTTGTCTCTTGTTATAGGTTGATCCATATTAAATATCAATAGCTGATGACATGAACATGGAGACTCATGAACTACAGATTAGTGGAATACACTAGAAGACCATCTCCCACAAAATTGCCGATCGAGTTCTTTTTCTCTCTCTATGTATGGATGCAGGTACGCTACAATCCTAGTACTATTATCATGAACATGCTTATGATCTGAAAAAAAAAAAATAAAGATTTTCCGGTCATCGGAGATAGATGTAAGAAGAAAAAAAGTTTGTCATGGAAGAATTTCTTACAGTTCATGCAGATCATGGATCTTCGCTGCAAGGAGCTCAAGCAATTGTGTCAACAAAAAATGGGCCAAGAACTCAAGAAGAAGGGTGCAATAAGTGTCGCCCCTCTTTTTTATAATCTCGTCATCAGTGCCCTTATTGCCACCAGTTGGGTAGACATGGTTAGTCTTTCTGGATCATGGTTTTCAATTTTTTTTCCGTTTTTTCTTTTCTTTAAATAATTCAAGAAAGGGTGCCTTTAAACTGAGTCAAGTTTTTTTTTTTTTTTTGTTCAACGGTAAAAGGTGTTCGATAAGTTTATATGCACCTCAACTAAATTTTCTCTCTAATCTATCAAAGAGAGTTCATCTACGCAGAAATTAGAGTATTTCTTGAAAGATAAATCTCTCATGACCTAGTCCCAAAGAGTTATCAGATTCAACTAGGTTAGAGTAGTTATCTCCTAAAGCTTCTTGATATACTTCAATGTGAGAAAGCAAAGAGGTTCCGATTTCTAAAGAGTTGATTCTGGCTGCTTAGCTTCAACAAGACCATTATGCAATTGCAGTTGGGCAGCAATTCACCATGACAAAAAATCTCCATTATGTGGATAAATTGTGTGTTATGTATGTGTATTGTGAGTAACATATAACCATACTTTTATGCAAATTCCGGGAATTCTCGACAGCTTTAGCACCAGATACCGCGAAAAAATTAGAATATAACAGTATAAGTACAAGATTAATCATCATCTTAGTCTTCATCTCCATGTGTTTGCAGCATTGAACATCAAACTAAATTGCGTCCAAGACAGAAAATCATCACTGCTATCCCACTGAGGCATAGTAAATCAGTGATAGACATCTGAATGATGCCTAGGGTGTTCTCCGTTGGCATCAATTTTTCACACGAGTTTAAATTGATCAAAACTTTGAGGCTTTTGAGGGTTTCGGTTTTCACCGAGTATGGATGGATTTCGGTCTCACCATAGGGGGAGGGAGTGGATAATCACCGATTAAGGGAAGGTTGAGTTTTACCGGGTTATTGCTTGTTTGATGAATTTTTGCACTTTTATGTGTGAGGATTGAAGGGTATAAATGTTTTTTAACGTTAATGTTGACTTCTATCAATTTAGATGGTCAAGAATAACGGCAATGGGATTGGGATGATTGAGAAATGTTAAAACTTGAAGGGGGCAAATTGTCAAAATCAAAACCACGAGGAGCTACCCAAACTTGAAGGGAACATTTTGTAATTAACCCTTTTATAGAGTGTAATTAAGTACACATAAATAGGTGTGCATTACAAACCAGCAACGTATCAGAGCATGGTAACAGCTTATCAATTTCTACCAAATGTGATAGATGCACACACCGAGATATTTGTAAATGACATGATCTGAGAGACATGTCACAAGCTTGCAACAGGCATATTATAGAAAGTAGCCCTTGTAGTGTAAAGCAGTCGCCCAGATTCCTTGAGTCTGAACTCAACTGTAACTGCTGTCAAATTTCTTCCACTCCTTACTACAGACCCATCAACGACAACTTCCGCCTGTGAATATAGCAAAAGGTACCCACCACAGATAAGAGTTAAGAAAGGGAACTAAAAATGAAAATGCTGTGAATGCCTTAAACAAATCACAAACATCAAACTATAGAACTAAACGGTAAAGAAACCCTAAATATGAATTCAGACATTATAATCTGAATAAATAATGCTTAGTTTAGACTGGGATTTTTTTTACTCCTTGTTCAAGTCAATGTCTACGCCTTTGGAGCACCTTTATAGCTGTTGAAAAATATTTGAGGCAAGCACAGTGCCCATAGCTAACTTCAGAGGTCAATTCAATACCTCCCTCTTCCTTACATCACCAGAGGACAATAAGGTAGTATCGTTGAATTCTCAAGTAATGAATTGGAGAACATTGATGGCCAAATTCAACATAGTTTGAAACTTGCCAAATCAAGAAATAAGTTTGCATTTGAAAGTCCAACCATACCCATGAATAAGACAGCAGCTATACCAGATCCATAGCATTAAGATGAATGTAAGATTGACAATTCCACATGATGCTTTAGACAATAACTAACGAAGAAGAGCATCAATTACACACCAACAATAAAAACCAAAATCAAAACCATCAAGATAAACACCAAAAGACTCACATTGCGGGGAGCACCCGAGAGGTATGATAAGCCCAGTTCTCCAAGAAAAAGGTCCTTATCTTCGCCCACAACAGTTCTAGCACAAGCTATCGACACAATCTCTGCCACAGCCGCAACTGCCCCTCCATGCAGACCACCATACATATTCTACAAAAATTCGTGGACTCAACATAAAGCCCCCCAATATGGTTTATGAGAAAATGAAGGGAAAGATACAAGAAACAAAATAAACCATAATCTAATGCATTTTTAGCACATAGTTGTAAAATATAGTATCCATAAGCCATATTCACTCGCCTAGAAAATGTAAAGAAACAAAAATATGAATGCAGCAGCTTCACTAATCCTTATGAGCTGAGACTGAAATTGAACCTAATGATTCATGGCACTATTTTTTTCCACTGTTCTATTTCTCTCAATTATATTAGTGACTTGGGCAGAGAGAGTAATTCCTGTTCCAATAGACAATTCGAAGAAAACAGGGAATGATTGGTTTACAGTGACGACTGGCTGAATCAGCTCCAAGTAAAAGTCTTCAGTATTTGAGGAAAACCATTGATCCAAGTGAGAAACTCCAAAGGGACGTCCTTGGGGACAATTGCTTCAGAGGGCTTCTCCATCTCTTCCCTTGTCTCTCACCCAGAATTCAGGAAAAGAAGAAAATCCTACTATACAGTTGTCTTGGACTATCTGTATCGGTTTTGGATTAGCTGTATATAAATACAAACTGATCTAACTATAAAATTTGAATACCTAACTATAATATTTCTATCCTGAATAGAAAATTTGTTGTTTTATGAGTAGGGAATCCAGGATCTTCAAGGAAAGATCCATACTAGGCTAGTCTTCGTGTACTGTACACAAATCATAAACTTTTTCTCTTACATTTTCTAGGCAACCAAACAGAGCTACAACTGTACAACAACGTGGTCACAAGTTCTTCATTTTTCTCGGGAACCCAACAAATGTTCAACATAAGAGCAACTCCAAGGGGTGGTTGCAAATGGGTTGATGAATCCAACGATCCTTATAGATTGGTGAATAAAAATATGAAAATGACACCCTATTTTGGCAACTATCATTGGAGCAGATTAATAATTCAAGATTGCTAAAATACTGTTCAAGGTTGCCCCAAAATGGCAACTCCCTTTAGAGTTGCTCTAATAATTCCAAATTCGCATTCCACAAAAAAATATATAAACAAAATGCAAAAGGGGGAGATCGAATTACATGTTATTGACCTCAGAAGCTTTTTCTTTATTTTCTCAAGAACCCAACAGAAGTTTTAACATAAAAATTCAAAATTCTGATTCTACCAAACAAATATAAAACAAGATTCAAAAAGGGTAGATGGATCTACCGTGAAAGCAGGTTTAATGGAGAGAAAGCAAGAGATTTTGCCTCGTTGAACGCTACTGATCTTGAGAAGGCCTCGAACGAGGTCGGAGTATGAACCCTGAGTGTCATAATCCGGCGGGATGGGTTTGAAGACTCCATCACCCTTAATTAAATTATCGACTCGGGAGAGAGACTCTGAGGGTAAGTCTTTGGAGATAAAGGTTTCAGAATCGGAAATGGCGCTGCTGGGTTTTTTCTCTTCCATTTCTCTCTCCTCAGTGTGGTGCCATTTTTTTTGGAGAAAAATAGGAAGTGTTGAATAAATGCCACGCAGGGTGAGAGTGATGTTTCTGCCACTAGACTCACGTTTTTGGCAAGGAACTCAAGATAAGTGACAAACGAGTAGGCCGTCTACGTAGCGTGACTACCCAAGAAAAAAAAAAAAAAAAAAAAAGACTGACTACCCAATACCCATCACTACTTTTTCCTCGAGAACAAACTTAATTAAGGTATATTGACGGTTAACCGTCAAATTTTAATACAAGATTTTAATATTCGAATCTCTAACTTTAATATAACAAGTTCATTTGATAAAATTTTGTTCATTCTTTCTTTCGATTTCTTATAAAGATTAAAGTAATCTTCTTTTGAAATGAGTACTTGTAAAAATTTGAAACAATTGTTCTTATACTCTTAGTTTAAACATCCAAAAGTTGTTGTCGTAGATAATAACCAAATCAAGTAAATTATAAATTACATTTGTTATAATGTTATCATTCAAGACCTTAAGATAAAATTTTAACTTTTAAAATATATTATATAACCTTTAAAATTATATATTTCATGATCAATCATACTATTTTACTATCTATAATGTCATTTACAGTTATAACTTTCACCCTCAAAAAATTATGAGTTGATCTTCAAAATGATGTAATTTTTATTGATACCTTACATTATTTTTATGAAAAATTTCTTGTTAATTTTTTTTTTTTTTGGATATATTACCAATCTTCATAGGGAATCAAATGCTTAAATTATTTTATTTCTAATTCATTATGCTATTATACCATTGTTGCAAACAATTGAGTTTTTCTTGACCCTGTCAAACAGAGGGTAATTATTATGAATGACTTCTCATAATCATTTAAGTGACCTATGGTGCATGGCCTTCATATATCCTCATTGACCAAAGTAGACTGAAGTGTTATAATATGAGACGATACGTTAACACAATATAAATATACACACAAAATTAAAAAATTTGAATATTCCTTAAGCCACCGATTTTGTAAAAGAGTGGACCTGACATAACACAATTAATAAACAAATCAAGTATAAACGAAACCAATCAAAAAAAAACACACACAACACGACTCTTGTGTATACCAATTATATACAATTCATACGTGACGCGAATCTGATATAACACAACTCGTTACAAACGAATTAATAAACGAATCAAATATGATTAAAATACTTTTTGACATGAACACGCTAACACCCAACACAAACTCACATCAACCAATTAGATTAACAGGTGTAAAAGTTGGTGCCTTCTGCCTGACATTGCTTAACTAGGACATAAACTGCTTAAATGTTAACAGGACGGTAACCTGATGTTGCATGAAATCTTATTCTATGGCACACTTAGAATTTATTCTCCTCAGGTTTCTCTTGTCACTCATTCCCTGCCTCTTACTTCTCAGGACAGTTTTGTGTAAAATCCGATGACGGTCGTTGGAAGAAGAGGGTTACACAGAAAGATAAAAGGCTGATATTGCAAAGAGGTGACTACCCATTGAGCACACACAATGGAGGTTTGACTGCAAGTTTGTTGCGAACGATGTATGTTCATGCATATAATGCAGTATCAAGTGTGACAATTGCATAACTTTTGACTAATGTTTCATTATGAGAAGGAAAAAAAAAAAGTTTCCAATCCAGAGAGTTGATGCTGGCTGCTTCGCTACAATAAGACCATCGTTAAATTGCTGTTGGGCAGCGATTCACTAGGTAACAATCTCCATTATGTGCAAACTCAGGGAATGCTAGACTGATTTAGCACCTGATACCACGAAAAAATTAGAATGTGTCGGTAGAAGTAATTCATTGCTGCTATCCTACTGAGGCAGAAATCATCAATTTTCTTGAACTCAGTACGACTTTATCAACCAATTCCTCCCCGTTCATAGAACAAAGCTATTACAGGAAAAAAAAAACAGTTCTAAGAACTTACACTTTAAGAACCCACAAAATCCAAGACCGTGAAATAAATTAGTTGTTCTTAGAACCCAAAGCCACCATAAGTTGTTGGAAAGACAAATGCAAGCTGTTCTAAGGACCGACAACCACCAAATATCTGGAATAAAATCATTTTGATAGGTCAGAAAGCACCAAGTTGAAAACACAAGCTGCATAAGAACACAGAAGCGGAATAAAGATAGAGATGAGATTTATTAACATAAGAAACTAGTCTCAACTCTCAAGTAGTATTGAATAGACAATTGCCCTGCCCCAGTAGAAAAGCAACTCAAGTGTAAAAAAAGAACAAGCATACATGGGGATACAGAGAAGTAGAATAAGTGTATGAGACATGAAGAGTTTGTTTTGATTTTCTCCGGGATTGCTTATCCACTATTTATGTACATTTGCCTCTTTCTATGAAACAAAATATTTGCTTCCTATCAGAAAAAGACATGAAGAGCTAGTGCAAACAGAAAAACAATGTGCAAAATCTCATTTCATCTATGTAGAAAACACCTATGGCCGGAAAGATTCTAAACAAGGATGTCATTTTAGAGAGCACACTCCTCTGTAAAAGCTACTTATCTTCTCATAGAACGTAATTAAGTACATATAACTAGGTATGCGTTATAAGCTAGCAACATATCAGAGCTAGGTAACAGCATATCAACTTTAATATGCTGGTTGAACATAATTTCTACTAAATTTGTGTCAGGAATGTTAGGTGATAGATACACATACTGAGATATTTGTAAATGATATGAACTGAGAGACATGTCACAAACTTGCAACAGGCATATTATAGAAGGTAGCCTTTGCAGTGTAAACCACTCCCCCAGATTCCCCGAGTCTGAACTCAACTGTAACTGCTGTCACATTTCTTCCACTCCTTACTACAGACGCATCAACGATGACTTCCGCCTGTGAATATGGCAAAAGGTACCCAACCACAGACAAGGATTAAGAAAGGAAACTAAAACTGAAAATGCTGTGAATGCCTCACCAAATCACAAACATCAAACTATAGAACTACACAGTAAAAGAAGCCCTAAAAATGAATGTAGATATTATAATTTGAATAAATAATGCTTAGTTTAGACTGGGATTTTTTTACTTCATATTCAAGTCAATGCCTGCACCTTCATAGATGTTGAAATATATTTTTGAGGCAAGCACAATGCCCATACCAGAATTCTCAAGTAATGAATTGGAGAACGTGGATGACCAAATTCAATCGTAGTTTTGCAATTGCCAAATCAAGAAATAAGTTTGCATTTGAAAGTCCAATACATACCCATCAATCAGACAGCAGTTATACCAGATCCTTAGCATTTTGATGAATGAAAGAATTGACAATCCCACATGATGTTTTAAAGGATAACTAATGAACATCAGCACCAATTGCACACCAACCATAAACACCAAAATCAAAACCAACAAAAGTGAGCACCACAAGACTCACATTGCGGGGAGCAGCAAAGAGATATGACATGCTCAGTTCTCCAAGAAAAAGGTCCTTATCTTTGCTGACAACAGTTCTAGCACAAGCTATCGACACCATCTCTGCCACAGCCGCAACAGCACCTCCATGCAATCCACCATAAGCATTCTACAAAAAACCTTGAACTTAACATAAATCGGCCCAATTTGGTTTTTGAGAAAACTAAAGGAAAGAAAAGTGCAAGAAACAAAAGAAACCATAATCTACGGTCAATGTTTTAAATGGTTGTAAAATCTAGGCGCTATAAGCTCTATTCACTTACCAAGAAAATGTAGGGGGAAAAAGTGTAAATGCAGCAGCTTGTATTTTCCATTACGTGAGCCTTTTAGAGCAATTCCAACCCAATTCTCCATTTTAGCTATTCAAAATATATTTAAATATTACATTCTTTATTTTAGAGAGTCACTTTAACCACACTCTCTATTTTAACTAACTACTTCAACTAACTTTCAATAATTTGAAGCGGATTGCAACATATATATATATATAGAGAGAGAGAGAGAGAGAGAGGGGGGGGGGGGAGAGAGCTTGGAGAGGCTAAATGGATCTCCAAATTTGGAGAACCATTTGGGTGAAACGGGAAATAGAGAGTGGGTTGGAGAGCTTTTTTAGTATTTAGCTAGATAGAATAGCTAAAAAAGGGGAAATAGAGAGTGGATTCGAGATGCTCTTAGGGGCTGACTACTGAGAATGACATTAAACGAAATGATTCATGACCCTATTTTTAACGCTGAGGGGCGTAATGATTCATGACACTATTTTCACGCTGATTAATCCCTCAATGATCTTACTGACCTGACAGAGTCTAGAACTTCTAGTTATTTCTTTCGCTTTTTTTCACCAATATATAAATTCCTGTTCTGATAGACAATCAGAAGGAAACAGGGAACAACTAGTTTAGAATGACGACAGGCTTGACAGAGAGGAAACTCCAATCCTATTGAAGAAACCATTAATTTGAGTGAGAGGCCCCAAAGGAACGTCTTTGGTTATAATGTGTTCAGAGGGCTTCTCCATCTCTTCCCCTCTGAGTCCAACACCCAAAATCAAGGAAAAAATAAAATCATACCTGATGGGACATTTCCAAATACTTCAATATGAAGACACGTGTCCTCGACATCAGTAAATACTTGTTAATGTAATCATGGCACGTACCCGTCGGATCACAAGTCTCTATTCCCCCGAGGTACTGTTCATAGAGATCAATGACACCCAGTACGTTACGTACCGACACGTATCCCTCGATCGGATATGGGTACATCGGTCCCTACATGTACCACTCCCTCGGTACCGAGATGTACCCGTCCAGGATGGCGTTCTCTGTTCCTGCAGAGGCGCTTGATGTACAGGTCACTAGCCTAGGCTAGGCTAAGCTAGGTTAGCCATCATGACCTCGTCTTACACAATTGGTGTCAGAAGGCACAAGACACAACCAATGGGGAATGGGCGTGTGGCATATTATGTCACATCAGAGACAAAAAGACCGGATGCCCTTGCTGACACACGACTTGGGAAAGCAAGCATTTAATTACACCATCCCCTTGATGAGACAGCATTTAATGCGGTAAGGCTCGGAAGTGAAAGGTAATAAATGTCCCTAAGATTGGACATTTATTACATCCTTGCCGAGAAGAGCTCATTAAACATTCGGCAGGCCGATGGACATTCCTCATAAGAATCAGTGCGCACATTGCCCGTATCTAATGATCACCTACTGACCACTCTAACAGCAATCATGAATTTTTGAGGTATAAATACTCCTCACAAAAGGCAAGATGTATGCAACGAAAAACCTTTTCTCAAACCTATACTCAGTGTTTTCTTCTTCCCCTCTCTCAAAAACTGACTTGATCGTCGGTGGGGATACGCCGAAAAACACTCCGGCGCCCATCTAACTTGTCTTTCTCTGTTCCAGAAACCTCCTTCAGCCTTACTGGACCGCTCCTTTGATCCACGAAAGTCACCCATTACCGTTCCAGGCCGCCAACGGATCTCAGCCTGTTCCAAATAGCAAGGTTGACCATTTGATTGACTGACTCGAGTTCACCACGGGAGAGATCTGTTCTCGTGTTTATATTGTGCAAGATCCTGCACGCACAATCTGGCACCGTCTGTGGGAAACGACCATGGTGAATACTCGACAAAAAGGGAAAGGTCCCCAACAAAGAAGTCTTGAATTACGAGCTCCATGTTATAATGGAGGGAAGGATCACACTGATGGGAATAGAAATGCCTCTATTCAGTTAAGAGGGCTTACTCCTCAAACTAGTATGGGCATCAGGTCAGGAGGATCCGCCCCCTTGGCTCGCCAACTGGCGGAGGTGATCGAAGAAAAGTTTGGGGATCGATTACGACAGTTGGAAAAAGACAATGTGAACGTCTTAAGCCGGCTCAACGAATTCGAAGGGTCGAGGGACTCATTCCTTTCTAATAGACTCCCCCGTCCGGGAGGCGAAAACAAAGGATCTGAGGAATCATTTAAATAACAAGGCATAAAGCTCCAGGGCCCCAAAGCGATCAAGAGCCAACGAGCACCCTCTTAAGGATCATTCCAGGAAGGCAAGACCTTTAGCCCTGGACGACCTCCGGTGAGGATTGTCAAGACGGAGGAAGGGAGATGAGTCCGAAGAGGATTCAACCCTATCCACACGACGCCCAGGAAATGGGGGACCTATTGATGAACTCGGAGACTTCAGAAGACATCCCGTTGGGGAGAAAATTGATCTCAGAGCTCGGTTGGAATCCAGGATAAAGGACAAGGCTGTCCAAGATGATGTCGAAGACGAGGTCATACAAACACCCTTTACCAGGGATATCGGAGAGATGGAGGTTCCAAAAAAGTTCATCGTGCCGAGGTCCAAAACTTATGATGGGCGGTCCGATCCCGAAGCCCACCTCAGGCAATACAAGCAAATGATGTCCCTGTATCATTCAGACCAACGGTTCCTCTGCCGAGTGTTTCCCATAAGCTTGGGGGACTTTGCGATGAAGTTGTTCAAGGCGTTTCCCCCCAACAGCATTGGATCATGGAAAGAATTGACGAGGCAGTTCCTGGCCCGATTCATTACGGGGAGTAAGCGGTCTAAAGACGTTGGATCATTGCTAATGCTCAGGCGGAGGGAATTCGATACCCTTCGCCAGTATACCATCCGATACTGGGAAGAGGTTAATGAGGTAGAGGGCTGCTCGAAAGTCTTGGCAGCGGCGTCTTTCAAGCTCGGCTTGGCAAGAGACATGGACCTGTACCGATCCTTGACTAAAAGACTCCCTCGGATATGGGCGAGTTGATGGCCCGGATAAACAAGTACTCTAGGATCGAGGACGAGATGGGAAGCAGCAAAGGCAGAACCCTCCAACCTAAGAGAAAAGAGAGGGAGCGGGAGGATACTTCCCGAAAAGGACTGCTACCCCCTCCGGGGGGATCATTAAAAGGAGTTCACACTATGTTCAAAGAACCCATCCACAAGTTGCTCCACAAGATCAAGCATGAGCCATTTTTCAAGTGGCCGCCTAGGATGCAGAGCGATCCCTCCACCCGTGATCAAAAGGTCAGGTGTTCCTATCATCGGAATTTCGGCCATCGCACCAAAAGCTGTAGGGTATACAAATCTTTCTTGGAAAGATTGGTCTGAGACGGATACTTAAAAGAATACATAAAGCCCAGGTCGGAAGAGAGACGCACCCCTGTCCCGACCGAGGAGCCGGACAACGTCATAGATGTGATCCATGTATGTCTGTTAGATCGCCCCACGACCAAGGAACTCGAGTCCGATCTCAAGAGGGTAGCTTTTACAAGAAAGATAACCGAGAATGATGGGGGGGCCGCCCAGTAAAAGGGCCAGGATTGGCGAGCCGAGCATCACGTTCTCCGACGCGGACTTAACGGGCGTGGTGACTCCTTATAACGACGCCCTTGTCATAACCCTGAAGATAGGCAAGTTCGACGTCAAGAGGGTGTTGATAGACTCCGAAAATTCCTCGGAAGTGATGTACTCTGACGCTTTAAAACGAATGGGTCTTGGCCACAAGGACCTCACCAAGGTCAGGATACCCCTCATCGGATTCAACGGCTCGTTCGCCCTACCCATAGGCAAAATCACATTGCCAGTTGTCACAAGTCCCTTCACCATCAACACCGAGTTTATCGTGATTGATACGGACTCTTCCTACAATGTGATCATGAGACGAGCATGGCTACATGCGTTGGGAGCGGTGCACTCCACTTATCACCATAAACTGAAATTCGCCATGCCAGAGGGGATCATGGAGATCCGAGGGGACCAAGCGTCCGCAAAAAATTATTTTTATTCAGCTGTTAGAGCAGGGACTTTCACCCAAGAAAAGGGGCGCGCTCCGGAAGAGATCTTGAAAAAATAGAAATCACAGTCCGGGCGTCCAGGAATGGATGACCCCCAGATTGACCCGACATAACGGTCGGTGGAGGACCTCCGAAAAGTACCCTTGGTGGAGGATGAGGAGGAAAGATACTTCTTAGTTGGAACCGCGATGCCCACAGCCGAACAGGAGGAGATGATTGAGTTCCTGAGGAAAAATGTAGACGTGTTCACTTGGAACGCAATGGAAATGACAGGAGTGGACCCCGAAATAATCACACACAAGCTGCATGTTGACCCGGCGCACAAGCCAGTAAAACAGAAGCCACGACACATAGCCCCGCACCACGCCCGCGCGGTCAACGAAGAGATCGATAAACTCCTGGAGGCCAACACCATTCGGGAAGTATAGTTCCCAGAATGGCTGTCTAACAGGGTCTGCGAAAAGAAGAAGGGGGGAGAATAGCGTGTCTGCGTAGACTTCACTGATCTAAACAAGGCATGTCCCAAGGACAACTACCCTCTACCAAAGGTGGACCCGCTAATGGATGCCACTGCCGGATATGAACGCATGAACTTCTTGGATGCCCGAGCAGGATATCACCAGATCCCTCTCCATCCCTCGGATCAGGAAAAAACGGCGTTTATCACTCCAAGGGGAGTTTACTGTTACAAAGTGATGTCGTTTGGGCTAAAGAACGCCGGGGCAACATACCAAAGACTGATGAATCGAATGTTCAAAAAGCAGATCGACAACACCATGGAGGTCTACATTGACGATATGCTGGTGAAGAGCAAACGAAACTGTGACCACCTGATAGATTTGGCAAATACCTTCTCCACCCTCAGGGAGTACGGGCTGAAGCTGAACGCTGCAAAGTGTTTTTGGAGTAGAGTCGGGTAAATTTCTCGGATATCTGGTGAATCAGCGAGGAATCGAAGCTAACCCGGATCAGATTCAAGCGATCCTAGACATCTG